GACAAGGCTCAGACATTAGTGGTGGGAGCCAGAAAGTCTGTGCCAACAGGATGGAGGATCTGTGCCAGTAGATTGAGAGTTCTATACCAGAGCCAGAAAGTGATGCTCGAAGGAAGGATCAGGGTTCCCCACAAAAAGTACCACAGCCATTCTCAGTGACAGTGAGGTCCTGAGCTCCTCCAGTGATGAGAACAGGCGAGCTCATATCAAGTTAGCGTGACAAGCTTCCCCTGGAAGTTGAACAGCACACTATCTTACCCTGTGGAGCCAGAAAGCAATGTTCAAAGTAACAGTCCCTCCACCCCAAAAGTGAACCGCAGCCATTCTCAGTGACAGCAAGGTCCTGAGCTCCTCTGACGATCAGAACAGTCAAGTTCATGTCAGGAAAGAAGCTGGACAAGCTCCTTCAGGGGAAGCAATGGCAACAGGAGAACCAACAACACCACCTCTTCCTCTCCAGTTCTTTTTATCTTGGCAACAATCTTCAGATGGGCCATCCAAACCCAGCACTATGCTGATTCAGTTCAGCTGGTGTTACAAGCTGACCACCAGTTATCAATCCATCGCACCCACCCTTCAGAATGTTCAGGGATGTGCCTCTGCTTGGACCTTTGCTGTGTACCCAGGTGCATGGGTAGAGGCCTCTGGCCTATTTGGGGATTGCAGAGACTCTGGGAGCACACAAGTCACTAAGCAAAACAAAAGCCTGTGGTGTGAACTCTGCCTTAAGGCAGGCATTGTACATGGATTGACCTCTCCTGGGGGCTGTTACCATGAATTGGCCTCTCCTGGGGTCTAAGAGGGGGATCAGGGCTTGGCAATCACACAGTAACAGCCTGTTAAGTGGGGGGAGGAGAAACACAGAGGTCACCATTGTAACGCACTATTCCTGGCACATACTACACGTTCTGGGGAGAAATTTACCCATCCAAATATACTGGCATAGAGAAATTTTTTACTAACTGTTTATTTTTGTTTCTTACTTCTTTTTCCTGTTTTTATTCTTTATATTTCCTCCTTGTTTGTTGTGTTCCTTTTACTTTTTCTAATTTTATTTACTTTTCTACTCTCTAATTGGATTTTTATCTGTCCCTTTTTCCTTTCATCTTGCTTTTTATTCCCTCTGGTTCCTGACAGCCTCTCAGACTTTCTCTGTGGTTTATGATGCTTACAAATTTGAAGAACGTGCAACCAGAGCTTTGTAGACCATCCTTGTCAAGGTTGAGCTCAAGCATGTCCCTCGTGCACTCAGAGGTGGAGATTTAGGAAGGAGACTGAGTCACAGGGGTGCTGCAGCCGACACAGGGCCTGGTTACAGCCGGGTGCCTGGCAGCGGGTGTGGACCAGTGCATCTCCTTCCCCAATGCTCCATATGCCCCCTGAGTCTTCTTCTCCATGACCAAAGCAGGTCTTCTCTGCCGCGTCCTCTCCCAGACTTCCCTACCTTGGACTTATCAACTGTGGACTCAAAAGATGAGCAAAGATAAACCTCTGGTCCTTTAAATTGTATGTACGCCACATATTTTGCCCCAGCAATGAGGATCACGTAGTGTAAGCTTGTCTGGTGTTTTTGCCTTGGTTATACGGGGACTGTGGGAAAGGAGGAGAGGAAAACAGAAGTGAGGTGCTTTGTGTATCCCCCCACCTCAAACGTGAGGCGTGCGTGCATCCTGTTTCCTCCTGGCCTGATTGCTGTACAGAATTACTCTTCCCTTTTAAGTCACTTTTTCAGTACTATGCTTTGAAACTAGGGCCTTTGCACAGAGCTACATTAACAACTCCTTCCTGTTCTGTTTGGAAACAGGATCTCACTAAACTGTGAAGTTGCTCAAGCTGGGCTACAGTTACAATCCTCCTGCCTCAACCTCCCGAAGCGCTGAGGTTACAGGTGTGTGCCCCCAGGCCTGACTTTCAAGTCAGTTTCCCTAACACTGCCACACAGCTTTTCTTTGACTAAGTCAATAAGTGCCACACCTTTGCAATTGTTTTCTTTTAACTCATTTGTAATTTTGAAATTTTTATAATGATCACAGGATTTCCACAGTTCACGAATGGAAGAAGGTAATAAAGGTCAGGGCTTTTTTTTGGATGTTTCTAATTTATGAAGGAAAGAAGATGCGTGTGTGTCTTGTTAATCTTTTTTTTTTTTTTTTTGTACCAAGAATTAAACTCAGGACCTCGTGCTTTCCAGGCAAGTGCTGTGCCACTGAGCTATACCCATTGCTTTTGTTCTTAATTGTAGTAAAATATTCAGGTAAAACCCACCTCTGTAGCCTTTTTTAGCAGTACCTGTTTGTAGTACATACTTTTTTACATTTCTGGTGTAGCATGGAACATGTATATCACACATCTTAATTGCTTCTTTCACTCTCTTTCCCTCTCTATCCTCCCTCCCTCCATCACTTGATTCCCTTCCCATTTGAGAAAACTCTGTTTCTCATTATCTTTCTTTAATGTCGTTCCTTATAATATGAGTTTCCTATATAAAAGAAACATTTAAGACTGTGCTGGTATGTAGGTATACACATATAACTGTATGTATGTATATGCATGTAAGATAGGTAACTACACTACTAATCTGTTAGTTATCAAAAAGAACAGTTTGTGCTGTCATTCTTTGATCATTTTTATGCTTATATCTTGTAATCTGAGAAACTACTTCTAAGATAATAATGTGCAACATATTAACTAGTGTTGATTTCTTAATGTTTTTTGAAATTCTATATTATGTCTATACCTTTTCTGTTTTGCTTTTTAAAATAAAAATAGACTGTATCTGCATTATTTCACTTAACATTAAGGTCTTACATTGTAACCATTTTCCAATAAATGACTCAAATTTATCTTTATTAGAGGCTAATAATTTTGTTATATAAATATCACATTTTTTATCATCAAAAGATTTATTCTCCTATCTCACTTCAAAATTAAATTTAACGATGATATTTAAATTTGATATATAGAAAGAAAGGTAGAATTCTAATTTCTAGTCAGTTTTTAAAAATTAATATTTACTTAAACTTTTAACAGAAATTAACACGTTTGATTTACTTTGTTTTAACCACAAATGGGAAACAGTACATAAATAATTCAAAATGCAAATGATAACCTTCATTTTCTTAAAATAGGTTGCAAAAGGAAAGACAAGGAAAGAAAGGGATACGAGCAGAAGAAAAAAAAAAAGATGGGAGAAAAGATCAAGACGTATTAAATATGGAACAGAAAAAAATACTCCCACATTGAGGTAATAAAATGCTTACAGATTCCTACAGAAGTGAGGCGATTTATACATCAAACAAAAGGGAAACTGAGAACAAATAAGATTTCTTGACCTAAAAACAGGTCAAACTCACTCCCCCTCCTTTTCCTTATTTACTTATTTATTTATTTATTTATTTGTTACGGAAACAAGGTCTTGCTAATTCAGGTTGTCCTTGAACTCACTATGTGTGTTTGAGCTCAAATGGACCTCAAACTCACAGAAATCCTCCTGCCTCAGTCTCCAGAGTACTGGGATTAGAGGTTTGTGCTGCCATGCCCCGTGTCTCACTCCTTTTTAAAAGGAAAAGAGAACAAAGAAAGAAAGAAAGAAAAAAGGAAAAAGGAAAAAAGAAAAACAAAACAAAAAAAAAGACTTGTCTCAAGGTAGAATAAAAGAAATTTTAAAATAGGCAAATAGGACAAGCAAATAGAAATTTTTAAATTGTACTTCAAAAAAAATAGGCGGCTTCAGCATACAGCAGGTGCTCAAACCTTTTTCATTCTAAAGAAAAGTTCTTGCAGACTCAATGAGTTTGTAAATTGGGCTCCAGACTCAGACCTGCTGTTTTCATGTATAATGTATGTTTTTTCCAACTTCAAAGAATCAGCAAGATCATTGGCGGCAGCTCTCAACTTCAAACACATGTCAGTGACTTCCGCTCTGGTGGCCTGCTGGATAGGTAACCGACAGCCAGTAGGAGTGCACTCGTAGGTGGCCCATCATGGAGCCACCCCCAGGCTCCATAATATGTCCAGCTCTGGATGCTAAGCACCTCTCTGCCTCCAGAGGGCTCACACTCATTTGAGTGCTACTGTCCCGTGTCTCTGACTAACTAGTCCTGAAAATTCTTTCTCTGTGATTCTCCAAATCTCTGAATGTTCTATGCCTTGGGTGAATAAAGTTTCTCATCTCAGCTTCGGGAAGCTCCTCAGACCTAGTCTGGTGATACTCTCTCAATTCTTTGCAAATCTCTCGAGGAAGAACTGCACAAGCTCTATTTCCCCCAGTCACAGTCCATTCATTCAGCCCCCTGTGCTGTAGCTTCTGCACTAGCCTGCCACCAAACTTGCTTTGCCAATAATCTCCTACCTTCTCCCTTTCTACCTGTCTGATCACCACACATTAATTTTCTGCAGAGACGTTCATCTGCTCCCTGTTGTGGGGGTCTCTGTCATCTGTGATCCATCCTCTTTCTTTTCCCTCAGCTTGTTGACAAACTTTAGAACTCATAACTCAGCTACCAAATCAGTTTTGAGTTTGTGTCCAAATCTGATGATCTCAACTTGTCTGTCTCAAGCTTTGATAGCTTCCTGAACTTCAGAACTTCTCTTTGTACCAATTAGACATGTTTGGCACTGACCCCTGTGATTCCTGATGTATTCACTGCAGCCCATCAGCTGGCTGGGCATCAACAATCACTCCAAACTTGATGGGACTAGAATCCAGGCAGAAACTCGGTAACTCTGAGGGGTGGGAAAATACAAAGCAAACAAGACTGATGGAAATTTTGAGAAGGGAATGAAGAAGAAAGGGAATGCTAGGATCGACTACTATTTTTGGTGTTAGGAGGAGGAACCAGTGGCTAAAAGAGGAGAGGAGATTGATACCCGGAGGTCAGGGGGGTTACTGCATGCTCAATAGAACAAATGTAGAAGGAAATCAATCAGAGATGCAATGATAAGAAACAGATCAATTCCATTGCCTTCTCGGGAATTTCCACTGCTGAATGAAGTGGTGATTAGTGAGCATTTTTGTTCACTAATTTTCCTTGATCTCTGTTGCACAAATCTTGATTTTTGCAGCAATAGGTAGATATCTTCACATTCCCAAGATACATATTATGAGATGTACAATGATATGAGCAGTCCAGTTCAGTGTGATAGTGGAACCATCCACCTGGAAGAGAAGAATATTTATCCTTAGCACCACAATCAGAACTCGGAACCCAGAGGGAGAGGACTTGCGGCCCGTCTCTGTGCTCTAAAATAGGAATCTGTCTGTCTCCCAGCACACAGAAGCCTGCACTTAGACTGGACTGATAGGGTTACCTGTGTCCGTGAAAGTGAAAAAATTTCTGGTTCTGCATCCAGGGCCAGAGTCAACTGTGCAGTTTCCCTTGCTTTTCAGACAGTGACCATTCTTGAAAGACTTGCAGACCATGCAAACTGTGGCTTGAGCTGAGAAAGACAGATTGAAAATTAAGCCTGGGATTGACTAGGCTAGCACTAGGGTAAGCTAGGGAACCATGAGAACACAGGAGGTGAGGGACATAGCATGACTAAGGAAGTCCTTGACGTAACCTCAGAGGTAGAGAATGTTCCACCAGATGGAAATGGTTCAGCAATTGTAGATTTGGCACTAGCATTTGGTTGCATTGAAAATAACAAGAAAGATATCTCCTAATATATTGATAGCAAAACTATGACGCACATGTCCCAATTGGTATCATAGAAGGTTCTGGAAGGTTTACCATCATTGCCCTAAACTACCGTGAATAGGAACACCATCTACATACAACTCTATAGAGGCCAGATATACCTTTACAAATCATGGAGCATAAAAATCAATCTGGCACAATGGTGGAGATGTAATCTCACACAGCTTGCTTCTGTAGCTTGTCCTCAAAAAGGCACCTGATATTTAAACCTACCTAACTAGAAAGTAACTTGCATGAAAATAGATTTAAAATAAGGCTTTTAGTAGAACTTCTACATAGGAACATTTGAGCAACATTTAGTCGTCGCTTGGGAGCAATCAGATGCAAACTCTGAAATTGGCAGGAGCAGCCCCAAACCAACCATTTTCAGTGAGTGACTGACCCCACCCTGAGCCCATGGAGAGACCTGAGCTTCTGCCTTGGAGGAGGTCAGGGTGGGCTTAGCACAGAGCCTTATAGTCCCTGTTACATCATCCCAGAATCCTGACCTTGACCTCTCCCTCCCCTAGAGGCTGCCAGCCCAGGCTGGTCACATCATCATCCCAGATCTGCTCCCAAGCCTCCTGTTGTCCTCAGCCTCATCCCCGCCCCGTCCCCTACTCCTCAGTGCCCCACTCACACCTTGGAAGAAGACAAGATGGAAAGCCCCCAGCAGTAGGAGCACAAACAGGACCTTGTCCATCTCAGTCTGGATGGCAGGAGACCCAACCGGGCAGCAGGAAGTGGGCAGCAGAGATCCAGGAAGGACTGGACAGGCTGCTCTGGTGTATGGATGAGTGCAGGCTGGAGTCTGCTCTGAGCTGCGCCTAGGCCTGGGCAGCAGCTTCCTTTTACCCCCTTGCCAGTGGGAGTCTCACCACCACCTGGCTCAGGACAGCATCCCACACAATGAGCTCCTTGGAGCTTATGGGGACAAAGGGTGCCCAGGAGCCCCTCCTGCTCCTGTGCAGGTGAAGTCCAGATTGTTCACTTCCTCTGTAAGGCTGTGCTTATTGCCAGGACCATGGTCCTCCCACTCCTGATGGTGTGGGCAGTGTGGTTGTCACCGCAGACACTACCTCTGTATTTCCAGTGCACCAAGGTCTGCCATCCGCCACCCAGTGCAGCGTCTCCTTCATGATGGATCCTGTTTCTTTTGACCCTTATTTTTCTACTTTCCAGAATCACACACATATGCTGACCAAGTTGAGCTTTTGCACACAGAGGCGGTCAACCACAGCTCCACACTTTGCTCATGTTTGGAATTTGCATACACATAGTTGGGAGTGGTGGTGCACACCTGTAATCCCAGCACTCGGGAGGCTGAGGCAGAATAATCACCATGAGTTTGAGGCGGCCCAAGCTGCATAGCAAGTTCAATGCCAACCTGAATTAAAGAGCAAGACTCTGTTTCAAAAAACCAGAAACCAACAAAAAAAAAAAAAAAAGAAAAGAATTTCTACTTACACTTTTTCATAGGACCAGCGCAGAATGTGGCACCCAAAGCACTTAGGTATAACACATTATCCTAATTTGGGGGACAGGATTTCACTATGTAGTTCAGGCTGACCTGAATTCACTGAGTTCTCCAGACTGAGATCATACTCATAGTGATAAAAGACATGGGCCACTATGACCAACTATTATCCTAATTTTTAAAAATTATAGTTTTCTACTGATTGTCTAAAGTGCCTTCAGCCTTCTCATCCTGCTTCATAAAAATAAACAAAGCTCCTACACACTCAGTGCACCAAGGGAGAAGGGCCATGCAGCAGGCTCGGAGCTAAACAGCACATCCCAAGGGACAAACGTAGTCTTGTCCTCCCTCTTTCCTGGCCATGCAGCAGGCTCAGAGCTAAACAGCACATCCCAAGGGACAAACGTAGTCTTGTCCTCCCTCTGTCCTCTCCCTCCAGGCAATTCCTTCACGGCAGAGTCTTTCCCAGTCAGCCTCACCCAGGAGCAAAATACTCTGACCACGCCTGCTCAGTGGACAGAGCAGGTAGTCAAGATTTACAGACAAAATAAAGAAGAGTGCAAGAAGTAAATTAATGCATGGTGCTATGCAGGAAGGAAGCAACTACCAGAGAACCCAAATCCCCCATGTACCACAGCTGGAGCATCTGAGAACCCAGATCCCCCAAGTACCACTGCTGGAGAATCTGCTTTGATCCACACCTTGAGACATTAATCTTGTGCATGAATGAGAAAATCCCTCCCCAACTTCCCAAGACAAAGACAGTACACAAAAGGCACTGGAGGAGTGTGTCGTATACAAGCAGTGGTCTGTCATTACCTCAGGGTCTACACAGCCCCAGATTGATAATGGTGTGCTCAGCCCACTTACCAGTACGCTCAGTGTACCTGCACTCAATGCAACCACTGTATTCAATGCAGCAGAGACAACAGAATTCCAGGGATTCTCAATGTTGCCAAGCCTATCTCACCCCATCTGGCATTCTGTGCCCAGAAAAAGAGGTACAGAGGGATAGAAAATGAGACACAGGATATAATGAATTTATTGAAATGTCCTACGAACATATTTGTTCCTGTGAGGTACCAACTTATGAAGCACCTCTGTAGGTGTTGCAGACTAAAGACTTTTGATCATAAAATCAAATGGGTTGTTACAGTGGGTTTGCTATTGGCTTGATAATATGGGAAGAAAGGTTTTTTTTTTCTTTTTCATTTTTATCAGTACCAGGGATCAAACTTATGACAGCCTGCTTGCAAGGCAGGTGCTTATGCCACTGAGCTAAATCCCCAGCCCCAAGAAAGGTTTTTTGAAAGAAAATAATGATCTAATTAGATATCTTGCAGAAATTTATGCTCATCGAACACTTCATAATGTCTTCTAAAGAAGGGATAGTGATAGGTCCCTTAATATGGATATTTAATATGATATATCTATCATGTCCAGGCTGATAACCCTAAAAAAAACCTGCCTTTATGAAACGTGATTCTACTGGGAATTCTGTAACGGTTATGATTGTTGTGATAGGGACATAAATTAGGCATTTTGAAAGACCAAATATGCTCCATTTACCTGTTAAGTTTTCCATGAGCCTTATTAAAGTTTGGCTCCCAGACTTAAAAGGTTAGCTGAAATTCTATGGTCCTAATTCATTCCTCCAGCACTAATAAAGGCCAATTTTATTGTCATAAATTGTCCCAGGTCCAGGGTGGAGTACAGGGTCAGCGTACTCCACATCATTAGGTACAGTCTCCCTCACATTACAGGAAGTTCCTCCAACCATCCTAGACAGTGGGCGTCCAGAACCACCACAAGGTCCTAGGCCCTCGCCATTCCAGAACTGCCAGTTAAGGTCTCAGCTGAGATCCCACAAAGGGAGTGCTCTGACCAGAAAACAGACTCATATCCGGGACATCTGTTTCTTGCCTTGACCCAGTATTTTCAAATTCTAGGAGCAAGGCAGGTGCTATGGTTTAGATGTGATTAAAGTATTGCCCCCAAAGGCTCCTGTTTGGGGTCTTGGTCCACAGCTAGGTAGTGCTGAGATGGTAGAACCTTTAGGAAGTGGGACCTAGAAAAACCATAAGGTCTTTGAAACTCCACCTATACCTGGAAATCTGCTGGTCTCATGCAGTGAGTTATGGTCTCCAGACTGGGTCCTTTCTCTATGTTACTAACTTGTTTGTTTGCTTGTCCCATGTTGGGGCTGGAATCAGGCATGCCAGGGAGACCCTCTATTACTGAGCCACACCCCAGAGCAAAAGTGAGTTTTTTAAAGTGGGGCCACCCAATGTTTGTCTGCTGTGTGGTGCATTTCCCACCACATAGACCCTTCTCTCATCAGACCCACTCTAAAACCTGGTGTCACTGTCCAGGCCAAGGACAAGCGAAAGTGCCTACAAAATAAGGCTGTTTTCTATGAGGGGAGGGAACAAACAGGCTTCATTCACCACTTCACCATTCAACAGTCACCAAATTACCACACTGAAGAGCACCTTCGTACGACATCAGGGTCAAGCACATGTGTGCCTCACGGAATGCCCTCCCTTCACTCTCCCATTGGCATCATTCTTCAGACCCCATATGCCAGAAAGAATGGAATAATCACAAGGGACCACTTGATAAGGGGCATTGTTGCCAACAAGCCTATAGAATCTCCAAAGCAGGAGTCAGAGTCAGAGCACTCTCATCTTCCCAAGGGACTGACAGTTGCATGACTCTGCCAATGCTTGATGTGTACTAAGACCAGTGCCACAGGGAAATGGGGCAGCTGATCTGCATACTGGCATCGGGTGTTGTGTATACAGTGGTGTCTTGGTTCATGAACTTAATTCTTTTCATGATTCTGGTTGCAAACCTAATTAGATGAGAACCAAATCAAATGCAAAGGTTACCTTCAATGTTGGCCATGTGGAGAAATTTAATTCAGTTCTCATTCAGCTCAGTTTGTGACCAGAGCCATGGAAAGAATTAAGTTTGTGAACTGAAGTGCCCTTGTGGTTCCCAATAAATTATTGGTGAGTTATGTTGTGTGAGTTAAATTGGCAACCCAAACCTTTAATACATCTTGGTAATTTTTCATTACAATCCATTTTTTTGGTCCAATTTAAGTGAAATGGACTAAACTGTACTCAGTTAAGTCCTAAATTTGGTATGGAAATTGGTATTTGGATAAGGAGTTATTAAGTCTTTACAAATGTAAGGAACTTCATTTTAATGGTCCTTTCTATGATGTCTTTGTTGCTATTTTTGTGATTTGTAAACAGATTGAACCTAATGATATATTTTCATTATTTGAGACCATGATATGATTTGTAACTTTTAGGGTATTAATGTAATATGAATTTATTGGCAGATTAATACTGAATCATGCTAATATTTCAGATAAAATTTGAAATTCCTCTAAATGTACACTCATAGATTTGTTTTATTTTTAAACTCTGCAGCTGGTATTTTATATGGTATTTTGCATTCATGATAAATAAATGAGCTATGATTTTCTCTGTTAGCCACAGAGAGGAGAAAGGACCCTCCCACGGCCTCGGGAACACAGGTGAGCTGCAAAAAAGGAGAGTGGCCATTCGCCTTGATATTGCCACTACCGAGGTGAACTAGGCCGAGAGCCCAGATGGAATACCAGGGAAAGGGCAGAGCCCAGCTCAGGCACACAGGGTGGGCAGGAAAGATGAGCGGTGTGGGAAATCTGAAGTAACAGTAACAGTTCAAGCCAACAGACCGAGGTCTCTATAGAACCAGCAACCCTTTGCTGTCAGTTATTTTCTCATTCTTTTCTTTATTTTGCTCTTTGTCTCTTGCTTCTAAATGACTGGGGAGAACTCCAACCACAGAAAACTAACCCCATCACCCAAATCCAGAGACCAGGGATTATCCAGATAATCTCTCACATACTCTGTTAGTCTTTCTTTTCTATCCACTTCTCTAGGTTTCCCAAACCTTGTGCGATCATCCTTAGTCCCTCAGGCTTGCTTCTACTTCCTTACCAGCTATCTTTGTTCTAAACACTATCCCACCACAGAGTAAAAACACTCTCCCAAGGAGAAACACATTGCATACAAACTCATAATCTCCAATTGGTTAAGTTATACAAATATAGACTCTGCTCCTATGATCTAAAGTACAAAACCAATAGTTACCACAGTTAGTTCCTAAATTGTGCTCGATGCTATTGTTATAGCTAACTTTACTGCTTCTAGCTAGGATGTCATATC